ATGGTGGTGCATGCCTGTAATCCCAGCTACTCAGGAGGCTGAGGCAGGAGAATTGCCTGAACCCAGAAGGCGGAGGTTGTGGTGAGCCGAGATCGCACCATTGCACTCCAGCCTGGGTAACAAGAATGAAACTCCGTCTCAAAAAAAAAAAAAAAAAAAAAAAAAAAAGTTATAGCTTTGTTGGAATGTTAACTAAGAATATAAAATTAACTTATCTAACATAATAGTTTAAATTTTTTCTTTGAAATATACTTTTTTTTTTCCCCTTGGTCTCATAAAGATATCAGTTTGATTTTGATTTTGGCATTTGAACAAGTCTGAGAGCCTTTGCCATTTTATAGAATCATTTAGCTCATTTATGTTTAGTTATATACCATAAGATGCTATAGTCTTGCAATGTGTTTTTACATGCTTGTATCATAATTATGTCTTTCATAATACATCTTTTGGTATATGGACATTTTGTATGCTTATTTTGTCTAGTGTAAACTTTCCATTTTATTTTTAACTCTAGTTAGTTGTTACCGGCCATTCTATAGATGTATTTTCTAGGTATTATTGTCTAGAAAAATTTAGTAGCTCTTGATTCCTCTTTGTATAAGATCAGGCAATTTCCATGCCTTTAGTTCCATCATCATCTCTATCTCATCTCATTTTTCTGACTTCAAAGCATAATTTCAGCAATACTACATTAACAGCTAGTTTTTCTCATGTATTTTTTAATAATCAGTTTTGACATTTGCATTCCATTTCATAACAATATATACAATAATCTTTTACAATTCTATTTTAAATATATTTTACCAGTAAGCCAAATTTGCTCATATTTTAGTTAATGAAAGTTTAAAATTATCTTTAAGGAAGCTAATTTTTGTTTCTGAGTAATTAAAAAAATTATCAATAGACTGTTATATATGCAAAGAGTCAAAAAATATTTCAATTGCCTTCACAAATTATTGGCAATTTAGCTGTATGTAGAATTCTTGGAACAAATGTATCCTGTCAAAATTCCTCTGCTATTCCTCTTATATTTTCTAGAGAAACTTCAGGCTAGCCTCATTTTAGACTTGTATTTCTTACAGCATTGTTTTAGGTCATTTTTATTCTCCACTTAATATTTTAAACTCAAATATTCACTGAGTACAGGTCTAGGAGTTGGCCACATTAACTTGGTAAATGCTTTCGATCTGCATCCTAGCTTCATTTCCCAGCTTAGTACAGGTTGTTTTTATTTGTTTGCTTCTTTTGTATGCTTGCATTTTGTTTACAACTTTGATTTGTAAATACTTACTATTTATCACTTGACCTCTCTTGTATTTTTCTCAATATCAACAAACATTCTTATTAAACAAACAAAAATCGGTATACCTTTCTCTGTTTAGCTTAGAACTTCCTAGTTTTACTTCCATATCACTAATTCTGTGTGCATGTGCATGTGTGTGTGTATGTATGTGTGTGTGTAATTTTCAGTTCTAATACCGTGGTTTCTTAGATTAAAAGTTGGCCATTGCAAATTTAGTTATCTTTTAACTTTTTTTTTTTTTGAATATGAGACACAATTAACATACCATGCAACTCATCCATTTAAAGTGTATGATTCAGTGGGTTTTTTTTTTTATATAGCATATTCACAGACACATACAGCCATCACCATGGTCAATTTTGGAACATTTTCATGGCATCAAAAAGAAACTTTGTATTTTAGTTATACTCCCCTCCCCTACAACTCTACCCACCACCCTAGCAACCCTAAGCCACCACTAATCTAATCATTATTACAAACTGCCTAGCTGTTTTCCAAGTGACTTCACCACTTTACATCTTTACATTTCCACCAGCAGTGTGTGAGAGTCCCAGTTACTCCTTATTCTCAGCAATTCTTGTTATTATCATCTGTCTTTTTTATTACAGCTATTATAGTAGGTGTAAAATATCTCATTGTGGTTTTGATTTGCATTTCTCTGATGACTAGTGCTGTTGAACCTCTTTGCATAAGTTTATTAAGCATTTTTATATCGTTTTTCGAAAAATGTTTAAGTCATTTGCTCATTTAAAAATTGGGTTATCTTTTTTTGTTGAATTTTAAAAGGCTTTTTAATACTGAATACTAGACCCTTATCAGATACATGATTTTCAAACATGTTCTCTCATTTTGTAGGTTTTTTTTTTTTTCTTTCACTTTTTGGATAGTGTCCTTCAAAGCACAAACATTTTTATAATTTTCGTGAAATTCAATATTTTTGTTCTTTTTGTAGTTTATGCCTTTTGTGTCGTGTCTAACAAACTATTGCCAAATCAAAGTTCATAAAGATTTTCTCCTATATTTTTTTCTAAGCATTTTTCACTTTTAGCTTTTACATTTAGGTCTTTGACCTCCTTTGAGTTAATTTTTGCATATGGTATGAGGTATAAGTCCCACTTTATTCTTCTCCATGTGGATACCCAGTTGTTGCTATGCCATTTGTTTAAGAGACTATTGTTTCTCCATTGAATGATCTTGACACCCTCACTGAAAATTAATTGACCATAACTGAATGAGTTTATTTCTGGATTTTTAATTCTTTTTCTTTGGTCTATATGTCTATGCTATTGCCATGACTATCTATCTTGATTACTGTAGTCTTATAGTATGTTTTGAAACCAGGAAATTTGAAACTTCCATCTTTGTCTTTCTTTTATAAGACTGTAAGATTCCTTTGGCTATTTTGAGTCTGTTGCAATTTTAGAGTCAATTTTCCATTTTTACCAAAAAAAAAAATGACTTTGTGGTTTTGATATTTTTTTGATATTTTTACCAAAAAAATGGACTTTGTGATTTTGATATACCTATCAAAATCTGAAAATTGGGGTAGTATTCCATCTTAATAAATCAAGTCTTCCAATCCATGAACATGGGATGTCTTTCCATTTATTTAGGTCTTCTTTAATTTCTTTCAGTAATGTTTTGCAGTTTTCAGTATGCCAGTCATATTTGTCCTTGGGTATATTTATTTCTAAGTATTTTATTCATTATTTTTCTGTGACAGAATCTCGCTCTGTCACCCAGGCTTGGGTGCAGTGGCGTGATCTCAGCTCACTGCAACTTCTGCTGCCCAGGTTCAATCAATTCTTCTGTCTCAGTCTCCTGGGGATCTGGAATTGTAGATGCCCACCACCATGCCCAGCTAATTTTTGTATTTTCAGTAGAGACTAGGTTTCACCATGTTGGCCAGCCTGTTCCCAAACTCCTGACCTCAAGTGATCCACCCACCTTGGCCTCCCACAGTTCTGGGATTTCAGGTGTGTACCACCACATTTGGCTGACTTCCTATTTTCTACCACATCAAGTTTAAAATCCCTTGCTTGACTTTTAAAACACTCATCCCTCAAAAAAAAAAAAAAAAAAAAAAAAAAAAAAAAGCTTAAAAATTCAAAGGAAGGTTGGAAATGGGGCTGACTGTTCCTCTCATTGGCAAAGGCCTTATGTCTCTGATATAAGGCCAAACTGTTTATCAGTGCTTCCTTGCACTAAGCATGTTTCTAAGTGCTTTCACAGGTAGGGAATAGAGCCCCACAGCCCTGTATTATTACATTTTACAGATCATGAAATGGAGGCACAAAAATGTTAAACAACTTTCCGAGGTCACACAACTTCTAAGAGGTGAAGTCAGCATTAAACCCTTAGCCCAACTCTGGGTCCCTGGATCCTGTAACCTCTCTAGCAATCTAACTTAGTTTAAGTATCCTTTTTCTGCTTCTGTGCCTCAAGGCAAATATTCACTCTGAACATAAATTCCCCTTAGAGTCTGGCAGGCTATGGACAACATTCCTAATTTCGTTTGCAGTTGGAATTTTGTATCACATTAGGTGTTTTTGTAAGTATTTCAATGGGGAATGTGAATTCAATAACTATCATCTTAATTCAGAAGTCCTCATGGAATTCTTTGAATACAAATTTGGTCTTAATGACCCATGCTTACTTTACAGATGAGAAAAATCAAAGTTCTATGTTTCCAAGATATAGAACTAGTTAGGAAAGCTGGGATGAGAACTTGAGCTCACCCTTACTTGGTTTGTTCCCTGTCGTGCCTTGCCAGGTAAACTCTCTAAAGAAGCTACTGTTCCTTACCTCTTTCCAAAGTACATCTTCAAAAGCCTCAGGCAAACTTTGATTTGAATTTTTTAACCTATTTGATTTCTACTTACATAGGAAAATAGAATGCACCCCCTTACCTGAGAATTTCTCAAAGTAGGCTGGTGACAAATGCCTTTTAAAGCTCCTTTATTTGACATCCCATTAATTTTTTTTAAACTCCCATTGTTTTGCTCCTGACAGATCTGTTATGTTTCAGATGTGACACAAATGTACACTTAGAGCAAAACTTCTTTAATAAGTGGTATTTGCCTCAGACTACTGAGGTTATTTTAGAAAACAAAAGCCAAAGGACACTTACCAGGACATTCACCTTGCCATAAATTTATCTGGCATATTTAATTGATTGAGAATTCTGGGTTAGACAGTTATCAACGCATGCGATAAATTGTTGAGCATTAATGAAAGGTTTTGCCATTGTCATGGGGAGGAAGCTTCCTGGCACTTGGGTGACAGGGCCTCACAGACAATGCTGCTTGGGTTAGCAGGTGGGGCATTTAGCAGCATTTTCTTACATGTGTCCAGAGTCTCATAGTAGACATGTAGACTTGAGGATGGGGAGGCAATATTTGTATCCCAATGAACATGAATTATGGTAAATACTCATTATTCAGATTTGAGTCCTTTAAAAAAAATCCCCTCAACTGGTTTTTTAAAGTCAGGCTCTCATGGCAGAGCCAAGCAAGAGAGAAAATAATGGAATAATTGGAGGCTGCTGTCTTTTCACTTCCCACATAAAATTATTTGAAGAGACAGGCCAGAACTTTAAACAGGAGATACCAAGAAAAGTTGTAATTTGGATGTCGGCTGTCATGACTTTAGGGTGTTTGCTTAAAAGACATTTTCCCCACTTTCTCTCTTTCTGCAGACATACTTCAATGACAATATCCTCACCCTGATACGGACCCTGGTGACCGGAGGAGCCACGCCGGAGCTAGAGGCTCTGATTGCTGAGGAGAATGCCCTTCGAGGTGGCTACAGCACCCCGCAGACACTGGCCAATAGGGACCGCTGCCGTGTGGCCCAGTTAGCTCTGCTTGATGGGCCATTTGCGGATTTAGGGGTGAGTCCACAGCACCGAGGTCACCTGAGCTTGTTTGGGAAAAGCTTAATCACAAAGAACATGGTATCAGATGTGACAATCTAGGCATCTGTCTTTTCTCCTTCCTATTGTAGATAACTGTAAGAGGTAATATTTATGGTTTACTCTTTGCTCTATGCATAGTCATTCATTTGAATCTTCATGGCAACTCTTTGATATAAAGTTCTAGTATCACAACTTCTAAGTCAACTGAGGCCCAGAGCGAATGAGGACTGGGCCTATTGGGAATTTGCAGGAAGGCATCCTGGCTTCAGAACCTGTGGGCTTTCTCACTCCTTAATGTTTTCTTTACATATCCTCTGCACAAGGTGATACCAGCATGCAGCCAAGGTTGGGAACTATTTCCACAGGCTCTTAACATAGCTTAGGACAACTCAGCGCAACTATACATTAATAACACATGGAAGTGGTCAGCCTCAGCCTGCAGGTTTCTTAGTTTTTATATGTGAGTATGACCCAAGCACTGGTGGTTTTCAAAGCACCAGGGTAGTCAGTAGTCAGGTGTATCCAGAGCCACCAGTCAAATAGAATCTCATGTGGATACTTTAATGCCTGTAATTCAAAACCTAGACCTTATAATTTCTGAGATTGGAAATTATAAGTCACGTTCCTTCAGGCTCTTCCTGTGACAGAAGTGACCAGCGTCTCCCTTCTGATTCCATGCACCTGCCTGGGGTAGGCACTGTGACAGAAGTGTGCAGTCTTTGCCCTTACTCCCAGCCCAACCCCACAGATGCATTCAAAAGGTGCAGCCATAAGTCACAGAAACCGATAAATCTGTTGCACAAGCAATAGTGTTGCCCAGAAAGACTAAATAGTGGAAAAGGAGCCAAGGAAAGGGTCTGTCTCTGTTTTTTTTTTCTGAAACACTGATGCATACTTGCCCCATTTTTTAGTTCGATCACAGGCTGCAACCTATGTTAGACTAGGCTTTTTTTGAAAGGGAATTTTCATAGCTTGTGGTTCTTTATACTTACCATTTGCTTATTGATCCACTTGATAAAGACTTTAGATAATGGTAAGATTTGGCCCCATCTGTATTCTCTAATCTGAGACACTTGTGAGAATTCCAACAATTGGAAGGACAAAGACAGTCATTCTATTCCCAGTGAAGCCATCCTGCAGCACCCAGTGCCCTTCATATAATACAGGTAACATCTACCTGAAGCCACCTGGCAGCTGAAGCCAGCAGTTCCAAGTGGATGCATTTGCTTACACTTTATGCATCAAGCCCCAGTCCCTGGGAAGGTGGCTGTGAACTGATTCGAACTGCGAATCCGAGTTATTCAGCCTGCAGACCCCTTGGCTCCTAGGGAAACACGTTCTCTTCCACCCTTGCCATCTCTGAGGTCTGTAAATTATGCTTTTCACACAGTCCTTACCTGAAAGAGTCTGTCGCCATAGGACCTGGTGGGGTCCTCCTCCTTGCAGTGGTTTTCATTATCACTCAGGCAGTTTTGACAACACGATCCTATCACAGCAGTTACAGCTAAGCAGGGGCTGAACATAATCACCATTTTGCAGAAAAGGGTTTGTCTCCTCAGCTGAGCATACATCTGAGACCATCAAGCTTTACACTTTCACTTAAAATGAGGGAGAAGCATAATCTCCTTAGAGTTTTCAAACCCCATTGCTACAGGTGGAAAACTGGACAGACACCAGAGGGAAACGCCATCGTTACCCAATTCCTAAAAATCACCCACATTGGATGTAGGCTGTTAACCATGTTGACTGCTTTCCCTGTCACCTTTTGGCACATGGACCCTCCAGCTCGGGAGACACCAAGACAAGCTTTGATGAAAAGACCCTTTTCCCTGCTGGCCCTTGATTTTCAGGCAAATAAAAAGGATGTTTCTCTCTGTTCTTTTTGCTGTCTCCCAGGATGGCGGTTGTTATGGTGATCTGTTCTGCAAAGCTCTGAAAACGTATAATATGCTTTGTTTTGGAATTTACCGGCTGAGAGATGCCCACCTCAGCACCCCTAGTCAGTGCACAAAGAGGTGAGTATTTGTTCCCACTCTGCCCTCCCAAGTAACCACAGAAACATTAATGTCCTCTCCTGTCCCCTTCCGTAAAGTCAAAGGTCTGTGTACATCCCTTCAACACAAATTACCCTGCCCATATTAAATCCAACACTGACTTTGGAGGCGATGGGAAACACTTTTTTTTCTATAATTACTAGTAGTAGATGTAAAGACATTTTGGTAAGGATTCAAGTTTTGTGTTAATAGAATAATTCCATCACCCAATTACAAAAGTCTGAATAAAAGCATCTCTCCCAAACTCCAGCCACGGGGATAATTTCTGTTGATACCTAATATAGAGATATTTCACATTGCTAGTGTTTAGGATAAGTTTTTGTGTTTTTTTCTTTTTTCTTTTTCTTTTTAGATGGAGTCTTGCTCTGTTGCCCAGGCGGCTGGAGTGTAGTGGCACAATCTTGCCTCACTGCAACCTCAGCCTCCTGGGTTCAAGTGATTCTCGTGTCTTAGCCTCCCTAGTAGTGGGGATTACTAGGTGTGTGCCACCATGCCCAGCTAATTTTTGTATTTTTAGTAGAGACAAGATTTCACCACATTGACCAGGCTGGTTTCAAACTCCTGACCTCAGGTGATCCACCCACTTCGGCCTCCCAAAGTGCTGGGCTTACAGGCATGAGCCACCACACCCAGGCCTAAAATAAGTGGGTTTTCTGCCATATCTTAGAGTCCTGTATTTTTACTTCATATATTTTAAATCGACTAACTTTTTAACTTTTATATATTTTTGAGTCAAATGTATATTATCACCTTAAGCAGAAAAATAACAGTTTAGATGTGCTAATTATATTTTTCTCATATGCATTAAAATCAATTCATAGCAGGCAAAAATTAAAAGTACATCCTAGGGTTACCAAGATCAGTGAGTTTGCATAATATACCCTAGGCAATAATGCTGCAGAGACAAGTGTTTCTCATCCCTGCTTGCATAGTAGAATCACCTGGGAGCTTTTAAAAAATATTCTGATTACTCTAATTTAATTGGTCTGGAAGGAAGAAAAAATAATATATGTATATTTTAAAATACGTAAAAATTTTATATATAATACCCAGGGATTATAGTGTATAGCCAGAAGTGAGAACAATTGCTGTAGACCAGTGGGTTCTCAAAATTTAGCCAGCATGAGAATCACCTGCAGAGCTTGTTCGACTGCAGATTGGTGGACCCTATCCTCAGCACTTCTGATTCAGTAGGTCTGGGTGGGGTTGCTTAAGAAGCTGCATTTCCTAGTTCCCAGGTAGGTGATGCAGAGAGCCACACTCGGTGATCCACTGCTGTAAATGAAACAGGATGATTATCTTAGTCACATCTGCTGTTGACAAGAGAAATCCCCAACTAATTGTGAAGAACAATGAAGTAGTGCTGACAGGTAGGCAGGGAAGAGTTTTAGATTCTCTCATGTGGTGAATTCCAAATTCCAAATTCTCCCACCAAAGTGGATTTTTAAAAGCAAGGTTAGTCTAAGGGGACACTCTGTCATGGTAAATAAAGATCCTGTAATGTATATCTGGGATTGTCAGAAAATTGTGGAATAAAAATTGCGTCACAGTCCATGAAATCTCCTGTGGATGGGCTACTTGGAAGTGATTTTGACCTTGTATGGAAACATGTAGACCAGGAGAAGCGAAGTTTGGTTCTTCCATCACTGGCTCTAATTCTCCATCTCTGCCTGGGCTCCTGGCTGGCACCCTTTGTTGAGCTAAACAGAGGAAGTTTCCATTTAACGAGGAAAAGAACGTTTAAGGCCTTAGACCAGCTAGAAGTTCTTCTTTCAGATCCTCTGAAAGACCTGAGCAAATAGGCCATGGCTTTTGGTTCAGGGAGTGTTGAATTCTTCACTTAGTTACTCTCGGGCGTTGACATCTCTGCTTTCCCTGTCTAGGTATGTCATCACCAACCCCCCCTACGAGTTTGAGCTCGTGCCGACGGACCTGATCTTCTGCTTAATGCAGTTTGACCACAACGCCGGCCAGTCCCGGGCCAGCCTGTCCCATTCCTCCCACTCCTCGCAGTCCTCCAGCAAGAAGAGCTCCTCTGTTCACTCCATCCCGTCCACAGCAAACCGACAGAACCGGCCCAAGTCCAGGGAGTCCCGGGACAAACAGAAGTACGTGCAGGAAGAGCGGCTGTGATATGTGTATCCACTGCCACTGTGTGAAACTGTATCTGCCACTCATTTCCCCAGTTGGTGTTTTCAACAAAGTAACTTTCCCTGTTTTCCCCTGTAGTCCCCCCCCCTTTTTTTTACACATATTTGCATATGTATGATAGTGTGCATGTGGTTGTCATTTTTATTTTACCACCATAAAACCCTTGAGCACAACAGCAAATAAGCATAAGGACCAAAAGTTATTTATGATTCTAGGGGAAAAATAACCCAAAGGCATGCTCCAGACATAAATAGCTCGCTGCAGGAATGAGTTCACAGATTAGAAGGGAGCACTTGTGATCAATGTCAGTTAGGCAAAGCAAGTTTATTTAATGTAAAAGAAAAGTTGATTCTGATTTATCAGGATTATCAGGGTGCTTTGGGTTTTGATTTTGTTGTTGTTGTTGTTTTCCTTTCTTTTTTTTTTATATACACAGTAAGTTGGCACATGTTTATTTGAAACAAGCAACCAAACAGCAATGAAAACGTATTGATTGTTTCCACTCTCTGGGCCGAAGTATAGCGAAACATTGGAAAGGCTTTCACGATTTGTGTCGATGATTATGAAGGACCTGCTTGTTGCAAGCGAACATCAGAGATTTTTTTTTTTTTTTTTTTTTTTTTTTAGTTACTCACCAAGGCCTTTTGTCCCAGAGCCAGTTTCCTCTGGGAGTTCGTATGAACCTTTCTCACCTTAATATGGAGGAAAGAATAGTATTCCATTCATGGATGTATCAAATTCTAGTCATTTTGTTTAAGTGAAAAGAGGTTTGATTGCATATTAAATTGTTATTCTGTCTCCTTATGTTGCCATATGAATAGCTATTTTTTTTCTTTCACTTTTGACATTTGGGATGAAAAGCCATATGTATCATAAATATCAGATGTAAGTCATTAAAAACTGCCTTCCTGGGACTTTTACATCTTTTAAAAGGTGAATTACTTACCTTATGTACAGAATAAATAATGCTCAGGAAAGAGCAAGTATTTTTCCATGCATTCTCAGGGGATCTTTTTACTCCCCTTTGTTTGATTAGTTAGGGCCCCAATGCCAGGTAGGAGGAAGGGCTGGGGCAATGGTAGAGTCAGAGGAAGACAAACCCATCTGCAGATTATGTTTTTCTAGGAGCTGACATGCTAAATAAATTAGAATGTAGGAGCATCAGCCACAGTTGACTCAACAAAGACAAAAGCCAGCCACCACCTTCAACTGCTGGCGCAGCTGCACAGTGCTGGCTGTCCCAATGCAGAAAGCTGGTGGGAAAGAATTCCTCATCATCACTTTCTTTAACATAGCCAATTTAGGCAGGGCAATGACGACGGTAGAGAGTGCTCCTTGTCATTATGAGACGTGGGATAAGAAGAGTGCAACAGTGAGCCAAACTCATTTTGGTATAGTTATTTTTTCCTTTTGTTTTCTTTCTTTCTTTCTGAACAGTTAGTTAGCATGAGAGGAGAGGTAGAAAAATGCCCCTTTTTCAACATATAGTTGCCAGATGCTTTGTGCATGCAAATCAGGCTTTAGGCAGTGCTATAGTTCTTAAAAATTGACAAATTCACCATAACTGATTTCTCTTATGGATGGAATAGCACTAGGCTGGTATATACATATTTGAAATGTTTAAAGAATTCCATCGAATAGAATAGGTGTAAAAGGGTGGAGGAAAACATGTCACAGCTGTACCATCTCTAAAAAGGTGTTTTTATGGTGAATGTTTTGGATTTAGATTTTGGATCCCCTGTCCCCTCAAGCATGATAGTTTTGGAGATTTGCTTGCTGTGTGAATTGACAAGCACTTTTACTGACAAAATGGTGAGGCTCAGTCAGAATCTCCACCCTCCCCCACACCAAAGACAGGGGCAGTGTAGTTTTCAAACCAGTATTGTGGTGGGGAATAATTGTATAAATGTAAATTAGCAAGCCCTATGAGTGGAAGAATTTTTTCAAATTATTTTTGTCTCTCTATATATTGATTTATATTATGTATAACTATCTCTTTATATAAAACTATATATATATAACTATATATATATAACTATATATATATAACTATATATATGTTTCCCCTAGTATTGGATCATGAAGAGCTCTTCATGCATTCTTTGCAAAGGAGGTTATAAAGTTACACCCTCAGAACATTTATAACTATAAGAATGTGCCAGTTAAAGTGCTCAACAGGAAATATGACAGTTTAAAAGCATTGTAAAACTCACATAGCTTACTTCTCTCTCTAAAGTGCAACAAGGATGAATAGAATGGGCCAAGGTATGACAATTAATGGTTCTGCATGACCTAGCCACTGCTGGGGGTTTTCTTCTATAACGTTGTCCTTGTGAAAACTTTTGTGAAATTAAAAAAAAAAAGGAGTTACAAATTTTATTCTGTTATTGGTTTGTTTATTTTTATTTATATTGTTCTGTTTGTGATTTTATTTATTTTGTTTTGCTTTCCCCCTCCCCTTTTCCTCCCTTTTCCCCTCCTTCTTCTCTTCCTTCCTTCTTCCACTTTCTAAATTGCTCAGCGCAATGAGGCTGTGCTGCTGCTATTGCTAGATTCCTTAGAGTTTGTTTTGGTGTTCTTGGGTGTGGGGTTGGGTAATTTGGGGGGAACTTCTCTCCATCTGGCTTGCCTTTTAATCTGCACGTGGCCTCGCTGCCCACCCTGGTACCTTGCTCCAAGTCTGAAAGCATTTTCCCATCAAGAAACCCAGCTTCCTTCACTTCCCCCATTGCCACCCCCAACCCCAGTTCCCCCGTCGGTCTGTTCATAGCTCTGTGTTCATCTTGGCAAGATCTACTCAATCAAGTGATGATGCCAGTTGATAAACTTTTCTGGAAAACATTTGCAGCAATTCCATTTGGCAAACCTGCTTCTCTGTCAATATTTTGTCCTCCTTTTATTTAAACCAGGAGGGTTCTTAATGGCAAAAGCATTGGTATTCTTTATGCTTGATCAGTATGACCCAAATTAAAACTGTTCTGTTGTGTATATCAACTCAGTAGCTCACACCCAGTTATCTGGGACCTGATGGTTTAGTCACTGTACCACCCAAATCTCTCCTGCCACCTGCCTTTCAGACATTTGTTAAATCCCAACCAGAGATTGGGCAGATAGATAGAAGTAAATTGGAAGTGCGCTTTACATGGAATCTGTTTGCAACTCCAATGAGGATACTGTGATGGGAATGGAATGGGAACAGACTATGGCATGAGATGGAATTTTGAGGTTTTCCTGGACTTTGGGCACACAGTCATGCCCCACTGGTAGATAATTGAGAATTGACCATACTTGAGTAATGATAAATTTGATGATGGAGAAGGATCATCATTACTTCGATTTTATTTGCCAAAACAGCTGTATTATACTTTCCTTAGTAGAGTGAAGAATCTCCTCCATTGTTTTCTATTTGGCTCCAAACTTCCCCTTCCTCTTTCAGTAGAACATCTGCTTGCTTAGAAAGGAGTCGTAGGTCGTAGTTTCTCATTATTATATCTCTTCCCCTTCACTGCCCTCTGCCAAAAAAAAAAAAAAAAGAAAAAAAAAAAAAAAGAAAAGAAAAGAAAAGAAAAAAGGAGATAAGGGTGGAAAGTGAAAGAGTTCTTTGAAAAGAAAGTATATACATTTTAAAAGGTAGGAACTCCATTATCTGCACCATTCTAGAAGAGAAGACATTTGTAAGCCATTTAGTCTAGCTTGTTTTGGGCTTTGAAAAGGGGTGAACAGTAAGTTGCCTGTTAAACCAGAAGGCACAGTGAAGCCTTCTCAGTCTCAACACTAGGGTGATCATGGAATCATGAATGTCCCTAAAGACTGCTACCCAGGGTTCTTCCCAAAGCCAGTTCAAATGGATAGAGAAAGCTAGACTTTTATACATACAGTTAAACTTTTGCCACAATTGGGAGAGATTTCAAATTCTGTTCAGAATATTAAAGGTTTTGACCCAGAACCTTACCATGGGTGCTCAATAAGTATTTGATATGAATTGACTTTACATATTTTTATGCCTTTAATCATTTTCTATATTACCCTTGTTCCCTTGGTTTATTTTTTGAAAAAAATGAGTGCCTTTACGTGCCTCATGATGTTGCTGCACTGGTGGCACTTCCTCATGCTGGTCACACAGCTTCTGAGAAAGGGGAATAGCCCTGTAAGCTCAATGAGAAGAGAGACTGACTGTGCCTCTTGGCAGCATCTTCAAGATCCCAGATGACCAGAAAAACCTTTTGCCTGGCTCTTCTGCAGCATGGCAAAAGCCTAAAGGTGTCTGCATCCCGATAGAGACAATTAAGTCAACCTGCCAGGTTCCTATAGCAACAGGCTCCTTGAAGGAGAAAGAGGAGAGTACAGAAACTCCAGAGCCTGTGGAAGTCAAGACAGGGTAAAAATCAATTTCTCAATCAGCTTCTTTCAGCCCATCCCTGCTTTGTCACAATATGATAAAGAAGTAGCTGTGGGCACCTGTCACTACACTGGCTTACTGTCTCCCATACAAGATTGCATGCCCATTGCAACCACTGCAGGAGAGAGGGATCACCCCCTGCCACCAGGATTAGTGAAGAGTCTGTCCTCAGGGTGTTGGCTGGACCAAGGGCCACAGAGGAGGCTGGGAGAGCAGTTCGTTCTGCTCAAAGAATGGCAGCATCAGACTTTCAGTTAAGAGTCATGGCAGGCAATTGCAAAGAAGTAAGAATATTTTTCTTAAACAGAAACTGCTTTTGTTCTGGCACAAATAATTTTTTTCTCTAAGATATAGGCATACTTTGCTCACAGGAGAGGAGGTGGTATGTGTGGGTGGTGGGTGGGGATGGTGGGGGCATCAGGTTTTGCCCAGCAGAGGAAGTATGCCAGGCTGCCTATCAGAAATGTGGGACAAGAAATCACACAGCTATCACCCTTGAAGGCCGGAGTCCCTGTTAGTCCTTACTGTTCTCCATGGTTGTCTCTCTTGAAACAGAATCTTTTCTTTTGAGCCTTTTCTCTCTCAACCTCAGCTTGTGGTGTAGTGAGAAGAGGGCCAATTATCCAAATGCTTTTGCTGTATCATTGCCTCCCCTTTCCTGTGATCTTCTCTAGGGAGTAGTTCTGTGAAAAGGCTAACTCCCACAGCACTGACAACCCACAGAGCCAACAGAGAAGCTTAATTCTCACAGTGCAGCCTGTTTCTTCTTCTGCTGGTGGCAGCTCAGTCAGCCCAGCTCTGGGGGCCTTCCCTGCAAGAGCCCACTCCTCCAGGGTGACCTGTAGCCCTGTGGCTGCAGGAGGTTTTGATCCTTATTTTAAACCCTGTGATCTCAGTGATGAAACTAGAAATGCAAGAAGCAGATGGTTCTCAGATGGGATAAGATGCCTGGTGAGTGAAAGCCAGTATTTCAGAGACACAGAGGCACCCTGGGAAGGGAGGAACCCTCAGCTCCCCAGACATAACACTGGGTTACCTCTTCTCCTTTACCTTCCAAATGAAGATGACCAACCAAATCCCTCTCTGTCACCTCTGTTGCCACAATCCATGCTCTTCAGGATACACTCTGATATCCACATCCCTGTTCTCTACCCCCAGCATCTCTGCTGAAGGGCATCATTCATTTATCATCACTTTCAAGAGGTATTACCCATGCTTACATCATCCTTTAGTACTGATACTACTCAGGCCAGTACTAAACTTATTCTAAAAGCTAACACTTCAGCAACTGCCTTAGGCCAGGCACTCTCCTAAGCACTTTTTAGTTACCTATACAAATTCAATTCTCACAAGAGTTTCAGATGGAGATGCTGTGTGTCCGTTTGAAAGATTCAGAATTTGAGAGACACTAGTCTGTGAAGTTAGCCACTATGGTATAATGCCTGCTGATATTATTAATATTACTAATAACCTTATTTACTCACATTTACTTGCCATGTATCTGGACCTGTGTGTTTCAAGGACACTAGCTCCATCTATCTAAACAACGCTATTAGTAAGTTTGTATCATCAGCCATATTTTACAGAAGAGGAATGAAACTAAGACAAATTCGGTAATAACTTGTTCAGAGCCACACAACTGGTCTGTGAGCCAGGTCTGCTTGACTTTAACCTCCTGCCCTGCAGTCCCCTTAGCCCACATCCCCTTGCCTCTTCCCGGTGGACAGCTTATAGCATGGCTGGTCTTGATAGGTGACATCTCCCAGTGGCAGTGGCAATTGTTCTACTAGCATCTCTCTGCAGCTGTTTTCCAGACTTTTATCTTGTCCCACGAGCCCCCTCCCAGCCGCAGACTGAAATGCCTCTTCTTTCCTAACTTCATGAACTCCTGGGACTTCACACATTGTACTCAGACTGCTGACAACAGGCATTTCATTCTTAAGAATCTTATTAACAAATGAGGCTATTTTTCTCTGGCAGTGAGGAAACCCTCCCAGCCCGATCAATTGTCCTTCTCATCTTAGAGATGAAAATAAAGCCCCTGGAAATCTTTCTGGCATGGGAGATGAAACAGGGAGTGGAGAGAAACTCAGGGATTTGGATTTATCCTTGACCATGCAGCATTCATTAGAACTGCTTCCCTGAGTCCTCTTCCTCGTGGTCAGTTTTGCAGCCACATATTTGCATTGTTTCTTCCTCGAAAGGCAAGATTCAATACATCAGATTGTCAGTGTCCTCCTTGAAGCACTCCCCTTGGATGCCGAATGGCTGGTGATCATGGAAATGTGTCTTCCTCGGAATCATGTTGGGAGAATCTCCTTGTAAATACCTTTGCCACCAGATATTTTAGTAAAACACCCAGAGCATTCAGTATATTTCCATTTCCTGAACATCCTATGTAACCGAGTCTCCAAGAACACACACATTTATATCTTAGGAGGCACCCAAATTAAACAGCTGTTTCTCAGGCATAAGGAAGACCTCAACTCCTTACCGCAGTGTGTTTTAACACAGCTCGCTCCTTGTGTTGAAGCAGCGTGGCCAAAACATGGGCTACTCTGCTTGGATCTTTTTTTAATGGCAAGACATTTAAAAGGAAAGAGAAAAGCTTAAATGGGGAAATAATGCTCTCTTTCTTACAGACAGCAGAAGGAAATTGATATTCTCTCTGCCGTGAAAGGTCAAAATGCCAACTTTGAATTGAACTGTAAAGACTAAATTCTGAACAATTATTCTCTGCAGCAGTTGTAAAAATTTCAGTAAATTGCAGCTGTCTTAGGTCTTTCACCCAAAAGACCTACTCATTTCCATCAGCTGAGTTCACTCTTCCAACCTGGCATGTCCAACCTAGCACTAAATCCCTTTGCAAAATTGGTCTGCATAACAGCATGGCCAAAACCGAGGGCAGCTCAGGCAACCAGAGCACAAACACCAGGCTCAACCTCTCTGAAAATCATCTTTACACGTAAACCGCTGGAAAAAGTAGTAGTTTGAAATTGTTTCAGCGGCCTGGCAATGCTTTTAAAACATGATAACCATCACACTTTACTCCTCTCTGAAAGGTTAGTTTAATCGTAGATCACAAAAAATTGGTTTCCACAAATGCATAATGGTTCATCTATGTCACACTTGAACTAAATGGTTTTTTAAATGGAGCTGAAATTATTTTGATGTGTACACAGTCCCAGATTTCTATACAACCTTTTTTAACCAGCCCATCAGGAACCTTGCCTCTGAAGCCTCATTAATAATTCAGATGTGCTGATGACTTTAAAAGATCTATGGAATTGAAGCTTAGGGAAAAAAAAAAAACTCTGCTTGACAAAAAGATAAATGAATGTAGAAAGAAGCTGTAGGAGTCTGGCAAGCTGTAGATCATCTCAGAACAGATTGTAACTTTATCATTCTGTCAGGGGGAATAATTTAAAGCACTTAATCAGTTAGCTTCACTGTGAGGATGTAGCATTATGAATTCCTATCGTCCAATCTGTTCAAATCAAAGTGAACTTAATTATAATAGGTGAGCGAGCCAGAGCAGGAGGGGGGTGGGGAGAATGAGGCAAGAGGTAGCAAGTTTCCTGTGGGGTAAACTGAGATGCTGTATAAATGGGGAGGGGGGGGCGAGGCTTTGAGTCAGTCACATCCCAGCTCCAGCAACAGCCCTCCTTGACACTGACAGCTCAGAGCACTTGAAAGGGCAGAAGTAGGAACTGAGGAGAAACAAGCAAAGTGGTCATGAGCTGAACATAGATGCTTCATTTATAAATCATTAGCCAAACATGCACATAACGTTACACTCATTCCCCCTATCAAACCAGTTGAGCAGTCTTCACTAATGTGTCCATCCAGGACCATTGACAAGGCAATTACGAATTGTTCTGGTAAGCAGAAAAAGCAGCTGGAGAGGGCATTGTCTCTATAGCAGTGGATCTGCTTGATAGCTTTTACCCTTTTTCTTTTTCTTTTCTTTGCCTAAGCCACTAAAGTGGGCCTATGATTCCCAAGTTAGAATGTCCTATTTGCCCAGTCCTTTCCTCTCTATACACATGGCCAATTTCCCAGAAAATTTCAATCCTAGAAAGAGGCGGAGATGAGGGTTGAGTCTTGTAAAATAGCTCTGCACTGCTAAGAAGATGCTAGACCATTCTCATTCTCACCCCAGCCCCCCGAATGCCCTGACTCAGCATTCTCTCTCAGCCATTTCTGTATTTAGGGTGGAAACGAAATGCCAAGACTTCATTGAGCTCCCTTGTCGACAGCTTGGGTTATTATAGTCAGTTAAGATACTGCCACTTGGAACTCTATTCATAACTTTATACCAACACAGAGTTTTCTTTCTTGAAATAAAAGCCACCTCAAAATCCACTTCAAAACGTTGGTCACTATTCTGATTTTCATAGATTTTCGGTCAGCAAAATCTGTGGACCCCCTAAAGTGGCCACAAATGAAACACGAGCATGGTATAGTTGAGACGTGGCTTTAAGTGTGCGTGTTGCAAGCAAAACCAAGAAAGGCTGGGAGGAGGTGGTTCTGCATGAGATTCTAGATCACTCCCTCTGCAGCAAGGGTGGTGGTGCCCTTCCATGTCCCACTCAAATCAATGGATGAACACATCTCTCCTCAGGCACAATGTCTCTACCCAACAGCTAACACATACAACATCCCCTCCCCACCAAACCTTTTCTGGCCACGAAATTAACTCCAGGGTACATTGCCAGAGTCCATTCTCCAATCCCTCCTTAGCCATCTGAGGTCTACCTATGGTGCCTCTGAGTCCCAGTGGCACATTTTGTTCATCACTTGCTACAGGAAGCAGAGGTATGTTTCAGGTTCTGGGGTCCTCCCTACACTGCACTGTCTCTCTTAGCAATTACTCACTGTCAGTTTCTATCGATTACCTTTTTGCATTTTTCAATGAACTTTCCAAAGGCTTTACCCTAGGACTAATTAAACCTCTCGTTTCTCCTTCTTGTTCTCTATCCATTTTGCCCTTTAGCAGAAAAGAAATGGTTTACAGATGAACCGGATAATGCCTATCCCAGAAACATTCAAATCAAGCCCATGAGTACCCACATGGCTAACCAGATCAACCAATATAAATCCACAAGCAGCTTGATTCCACCAATCAGAGAAGTTGAAGATGAATGTTGACTCCCAGGAGACCAGAACTATTTTTTTAAAGCCTGACAAACTTCATAAATGGTGACGTGACTTTTCTTCTTACATGCTGAATCACTGGTGGAAACGTTAGGATAAGCAAGAATTGCCAGAAAATAAAGTAGACAGATCTTTCTCTTTGTCTGCCTTGAATATTGCTTCCATGTATTTTGGAAAAGAAAATGATTTCATTTATAAATGAACATACTAAAATAGTCATGTATAGCCTCTAGCATTTTAAATTATTTTTATTTATTAGAAAGTAAATATATTTTTCCTTTCTTTTCATTGTCAAATATCTTCCCTATATCTAAACAATGCAAAATCTAAATGAGTAAGTGGCCAGACTCCTTAATGCGTTTTTCTCTTCTTTCTCTCTTTTTCTTTGAGGAGAATGATGGTCAACACCACAATTAATTGTAATTAAGGGAAATGAATTATTAAAACAATTTTAAAATGGCCAATGATGTATACATGTATTTTAGTAAATCCAAAAAGGAAGACTAAGGGGTCAGGTGAATACCTGCTCCTCGCCTGGATGGGTGTGTATTTTGATCTGCATTTACACCAGCTCTTAATAAATGGAAACTTACTTATTTTCACAGTTGAAAGTCATATTTTTGTGGTTTCAGTTTTCATTGTGTAGTTCTCACCCCTTTGTTCATAGTTTTAAAGGGAAGTCCTTCTTGCTGCTTTTCTACAATTGGCAGATCAGGCTTGTCTGCCAAGCTAAGGACACCAGGAGGGTTGTGGGCACACCTGGGATGTGGAAGCTGAGAGCCAGATGCACACAAGGCATTGCTCTGTTTTCTGTTCTAGTGGTGGGGACTCTACATGCCGTTATGCTTCTCATTTCGTATTTCCAAGCCACCTGAGCGAGTAATGTCCACTGCAGGAGGGTCTGGTGGACTTTCTCCCCACCCCCCAAGTCTCAGAGATTTTAGCCTGGAAGTTTATAAAACTGATCCATAGTTTTACTTTACCATAGGATATGAGAGGGCATTCATTTGTCTCACTGAGTTTTTGTTTAAAGCCAGGACATTTCTATACTCATGGAGACAGATTTTACTTTGCACGCTCTCCTTTATTTAGTTGCTGGGGCCAAACACATGAACTTATTACGACAATTTAAAAAACAATAACAAAAGGAAAGCAATGAATGCACTTCATATAGACTCTTAGAGAAGGCCTTTGAAAATTACCAGCAGTGAAATCAAATATATCAGCCACTTTAAACTGGGGTCAAAAGATTTTTCTAGCCATCCGATGCAATTACTATGTCTCAGAGCTCTGCTGTCACTTGCATGCTCGATGTACAGTCTCCCGGCAACTGTTTTGTTCCAATCAACTTAGCAAGTCTTTCAACTTTAAAATTCTGTCTTTGATATGATCATCAAGGTCTCCGGAGAAGCATGAATGTGATAGTGATTTCTACTTTCTTCAAAAATGTAAACTGTGGACACTTAAAGGATCCAAGCTAACTGAAGTATCCCCCCAAAGTTTCATGATATCTAGTCCATTAACTCTTTGGGCCATGACCTGTGGTACCTAGTTAAGGTAGTGCAAATCAGATCAGAGCAAAGCAGTGAGATCACCATGAAGACATACGTCCACTAAGTACTCCAATTACCAACGTAGGCAAAATGAGCTTCCACCTCTGTCCACTCCCTGCAGAGCCAATATAGTCGTGCTTCCACCTTGTAGGCATTGTCCTGCAGTGACTTGTCGGACTGTGATTACTCTGTCGTCACATTTTGTAGAATTAGTTCTATAAAAGTATTGTGAATATAATGTATGTCCAATTGGATTGTTTAAAAACTACTTATAATTAATCACTAGCCTACTCAGCAGACTAAAATGATGTCAACAGTCTATATTCGGGCTTATAAACATTTCTTGGTTTCCAACAGAACTCAAATGTGTTTGTGGGGAGAACCTCTTGCTAGGATTTTGACAACTTTCCTGAAAGCTAGGCCTTCTTTTACATAATGATTTTGCATTTGGGTCACCTTAGTATATTCATGTCAATCCACGCTCTTCTTTCCTTCATGAACCATAATGGGCTCTTCACTCCTGTTCCTAATAACCACCTTCGAATTTGTTTGAGCAATTTGGTCTCCTCTAGCAGGCTGTGGTGGCCACATAAGGGATCTTCCATTAGAGGGACACAAGACACAAAGCCCCATTCCCAGTATCCTCTCTTCCCTGTGTCTCCCCTATCGAAGCAGTCTGGAAGCAGAAATGTAAACTCCAACCCCATCACACATCCATCGATGCATTTGTGGCTAGAGATTTGAATTTAAGCTTTAAAAAAAAAATCATAATAGGTAGGATCGTTTCCTACAGTAAAGGGCTCCTTGATTCATAAGCATCCCCAAAAAAACATTGGTAGATACTCATTTTCTTTTAAGTAGAGCAATAAGTTCATACTGTGTTGCTTTTGTAATAATAAATTGTTCTGGACTAGAAAGCAAAATGAGGCATTTTTTAAGGAGGTAGGAAAATGACTGGTTGGTGGGCCCTTTGGCAAAAGGTGATGCCTGGTAAGTAGAAATCGAAATGGAAACATAAATAAGATTTGTGAAATCACTGGAGGGCTCAAGCACATGCCAGAGCTTCTTCCTGACTTGTTCCTACTTGTTGAGCCCTTTGGCCCTGAGTCCCCTCCATCTCCACTGCGACAGTCTGTCTTTTAGCCTCTATCTACCTGAGACCAAGGAGGGTCTTCCTTGGCACAGTCCATATTATGAGGCTCTGATTTCCCATCCCAGTTTAGGGCTCCAGAAAAGCCATTTTCCCAAGCTAATGATTCTTGGGTGCTGTGGGAATCAAAGACTCACCAACAGGGTATTTAAAAAGCAGAAAATGTCACCATTATCACCACCTTTCTCCTTGAGAAAACTTATATTTTTGTCTAAGCAAATTTATATTTTAGAATATCATCTTGAACCATTAAAAAACACCTTAAATAAAAGTGACTGTGACTAAGGCACATTGGAGAACATTCCAAAACTCTTTCCTCCCAAGTGTTCTGACACCTTATTATGTACTTTGTACAAAAATTAATTGATGACTTTAAATAGGAAATTAGAAGCGTTTGTTAGGGTTGGATAACGGAGAAGTGAGAAAGCATAAGAAATTTGGGATATTTTCATGTTGACAGGAGAAAAGGCACAAGTTCCTTAGTTACTATTTAATATGAGGGTTCAAGAGCCACATTTACAAACAACTATGAACTTTGAAAATGTTTTTAAAACCTTCTGAGTCTTGATGACTTTATTTATAAATGAGAGTGACTCAGTCAGATGACTCTAAAGTCCCTTTCAGGTCTCAGGGGACATGATCTAAGTTAGGAGTGGGAACATGGGAGTGGCTGCCTCTCCTTGGTGAAGGCCTTGGAGACTATTGTGTCCAGGGCTGGAATAATGATCCTTTTGCTGCATCAACCAGGCAAAATTCCTGGCCTTACTAAGGAGTAGTGAACATTTATTTTCTGCTCTGGACATAGAATAGTTAGGTTCATTCCTGTGCTTTTCATGTTAGAGTCCCTTTAGGTTCAAGATGCAAATTTCTTAATTCAGACACACCTGAAGCATGTTGGTCAAATTTCACTGTCTGTTTCTTCACTTTTTTTTTTTTTTTTTTTTTTTTTGGTTCAAGGCCCAGCTTCAGTTAATTCCTTCATCTCTATTCCATGTTTCCAATTCCTAATATGTAATTAGGGGTTCAAGAGACCCCAAATTCCTGCCATTTTTCCCATGTGCATCTGGCCTTCAGGAAGTAACCAGTCTTACTTCCCACGTCATTTCCTGTTCTCTATTTATTTGGTTGTTTTCTTTCGTTGATAAATTAACCATCTCTTAACTACTTACATACATAAATGTAATTTTAATCTATTGAATTTTATTGTCAAGGAGAACCTCACTGAAGGAAGGAAGGGGAAAATTGAGGAATAAAGGTCAGAAGGGTGAGAAACAAAGACTATCCAACTAATTGACTGAGATGTGATCACCTTGACTCCTAGGAGACTAAGTAGATGCATTCAGCTTAACCACTGAGTTCCAGGGCAGAATCTGTCCATTTTCTGTTTTGTTCTTATTTGCTGCTTTTGGAACGGTGGTAAAGCCACCAGTCAACATGACACTTGAAAGGGCCTTCACTAATTAGGACTTGATTCATCCTCTTTAAAAAGCAAAAGAAACAGAATTTACTTAAAATCTTCTCATAAATTACCTTTCTGCTACTCTCCTTATACCCAAAAGGTGGTTTTTTGTTGTTGTTTGTTTGTTTGTTTGTTTTTTGGTATTCAGTGCAGATGATTTAGCATATAAATCCCGTAATCAATTGAGGAGGTGATGATGCTATTTGGATTTATTTATGAGATAGTAGTAATTAGGAATGATTCCTAGCAGTTTGTGCTAGTTAGGTCATATTGGTTGTTTAAGTGGAGTTTCTTCTGATTGTTTTTTTCCCATAAAGTATCTATTGTGAATAATTTCAAGATTTCCATTAAAATAAGGCAACTTGGAAAATATTTTACAATTTATTTCTTAAGGGACCACAGAGCCTAATTTTCCATTTTTATGTTAAGATTCCTTAAAACACAAATAAAAAGAAGCCTATGTGCCCAAAGGCAGAGGCACCTGTAGCCCTACAACAGTTGGAAGCTCCTTGATATCACAGCCCCACTGTGATAGACTGGAGAAAGAATTCTGACTTAGACCACCTGTAGCAGACCTTCCTCTTTTGCCATATTTTTAAAAATCATAATAAGGACCTGAGACTCCTTATCTGAAGATAAGCCAAACTCATGGTATACATTAAGAATTTGAGAAGAAAGAAAAAAAAAGATATAATAAGCAGTATTTTAAAGTACCATGAGTTATGGGCGAGCATATGGTACAAAGAGTAGTTCTTTGTGTTGAAAGAAAGAAGAGGTTGTATTGATCTGCATGGGCTGCAAGAATGCAGAGATATTTAATGCTGGATGGGCTTTGGAAGCATTTCAATAGTCAATGGGTGACAGGTCTGGAAAGATGTGGAATATGAGGGTTTTCCAGGGAGACAGGACTTAATGGGCCATGATGTATTTGTAGAAATGTGATTTCAATAGGTTGACTATTTTGTCTAGTGTGATAAATTTGCATAGGGGAACTGAGGAAAACTGAGATGAGACTTCATGGAAGGGGCTACAGAGTACAGTCTAAGGGTCAAGATAAAAGTTTGAAACTTGATTTAGAAAGTCATGGGAAGCCAGTAAGAATTTTAAGCAGAGAGTGATGGGGCAGCAATGGCTGTGCATTTTTCAGGTTGAAGGTAGTGAGGTGTCCGTTCTTCCTGGAAGATACCATGACAATGCACACAGAACTGAACATTTTCCTGGCAGCACGGAGTGCCACAGGGTGCACACTCCAAGTCAACAACTCAACATGTGCAGCACCTCCCTTCCTCACACATTTTGCTTTGCTTTCTGTCACAGGATCATCAAAAACAATGTCCTGAATCTACTGAATTACTAGAATGTCAGCAACAAACTCACAAAGTAGATTAGAGGGCAGGAATAGTTGTGTAACTTTTTAAAACCTGCCAATCATACTGTTTTCTAGACAGTAATATAATAAGAACCTGTGGCAGGACATCCACAAATTGTAGGGAATAATTCATAGTTTAAACTGCCAAATAGGATTTCCCATTATGAAAACATCCTTGTAGCTAATCAGGTAGCCCTTGCTTAGAAACCAGTTAGCACTCATTAAATATTTGTAAAAGGAGCAGGTGGGGGAGAAATGAGCACAATCTAGGTCCTGACATCAATCAGTTTATAATACAACTAAAGAAAGAAAATATACCCAAAGCGCCACTAGAGAAAGGGTAAACACTAACAACATAGTTTTGTCATTCAATATGGCAGGAGTTGAAACAAGGGAGAAATGCTGTAGTTTCAAGTGATTCAGCAAGGCAGGATTTCTAGAGAAAGGGGGTTTTAGGAGTTGGATAAGTAGAGGGTCAGTATTCTAGGTATGAAGGCAGGATTATCTGGCATGCCGCAGGGTGGGTGATGTTAATCGGTAACTGCTGATGGGTATTTACTGAGTAGCTGCTGTGTGCTCGTGACTGTAAGACCATTAGAGGAAGACAGCCTGCCTGCCTAAATGGGAACACAAGCCACACATATGTTGGAAAGATTATGTTGTACAAAACAGGTGTTCAATAAAGAAGTTTTGAAGACATGTGAACACTGAATAGCAAATAAATATTATGGATTGTAATAGTTGTAGAAAATTATTTGGGATTGTAGGGGCTGGGTGTGGGGCAATGGCTGTGGGTCTAGAAGATGTTCTTTGTTCAGTGAACAGACACCTAATCTGTCCTCAAGGACAGAACCATGTGGAGGAATAGGAAAACAGGAGAAGCAGGCAGGAAGGGACGCAGTGAGTGGAGCAGCTAAGAAATGTTATATTGGTTCATCCAGAGCAGAAAAAGCTGAGAGCTGTACATGAGGGAAGGACCCACAGGCAAGAGGAGTGGGACAGGGGACTGAATGAGTGGGTTACAACAGGCCCTGCAGATGTGGAAGCCAGACCCACAGAGGTACATAGAAAGTGAGGATCCTGGATGAATTCTCTTAGGAGAAACTGTAGGCTCAGGTCAGCTGGCAGATGTGTTTGTGGGCTACAATCATGTTTATTGGGACTAAAAAGGAGCAAAATAAGTAGACCCTCTTGGGACAGAAGATATAGAGTACGCCAGTACCAGGAAAATGAGAAACAAGAGGGGAATTTTAAGAAAGAGAGGGCAAATCATCTGTGAGGTTAGAGATGAAAGATGTTGGAGATGGTGATGCAGAAGTCAAAAGACTCATTCAAAAGGCAGGAATGCTGCTTCTTTGTCCATATTCCCAGAGCTTGTCCTGAGGCCTGGTGCATGTGGACAATCACTCAGCCACAAGTGTCACTGTGGCTGCCACAGTGGATGGAAGCTGGTGTGGTGATTGGCAGTCTTTCTGGAGGACTCAAGAGGGAGGGATCTTGAGATGGGCATCTCCTTTCACCTTCCTGTCCATGTCACCACACTGTTTTTCTTCCCTTCCTGAACAGCACATGCACTGCAGCCTTGGTTTCAGGGGTGTGAAAGCAAATGTTACAGCCACCTTGCTTTGGTGGCTTTTCTGAACAGGAAGTGTGAGAAGAGATGTTTTGGCCCAGTGAAAGTGTACTTTATCCCTAGGTAGGTTTTTCAGTTTAGAAAGGTTTCCTTTGCTTATCCCTTGAGGACTTCTGTGTTGCTGCTTCTCCTCTGTCTTGCTGTTCAAAAGAACAGGGGTGAAAGTGACACCAATGCTCTCCGCCCTTACCTGCCTTGGGAAGCACTACCGGGCCCCACTGTTTAGAATCGTAGCTGGAAATATACACAAGGCACTGACACACGCCTGCCAGAACAACCCAGCACTCCCCTCCCATGGGATTCAGGGTCAGCATGGGAAGCCAGCTAGCAGGGACAGGAGCCCCACCCACAATGTAGACCAAGCCTCACTTCCATACAAAACCAGAGTCCCGTCAGTCCCAGAGTGGCTCACTCTTCTCTGCTTCCTTCTGCTGAATACAGCCTGACACACTTTTGACCAGAACTGCAACATTTCAAACATGAACCCAGATCTGCTGGGAAATCCTAATTAAAAACGTTCCATTCCCAGGTGGCACAATCACATCCTGCCTAAAACTTCTGGCCCACATCCCACCACCCAGATGTTGAAAAGAAACCTTCCTCTGCTTAACACCAAAACCTGCACTTCAAGGTTTCTTTAGGAGGACAAAGGAAAAAAAAGTACACACATGCAGAGTTCAGCCTACATGTTCATTAAGGAAAAAGAGCGTGGCTTATTCATCTTTCAATCTTTTGATTGTTGGCATTATGATTATGATTATGATTAATGACTCTGACCTGACAGGAATTGAAGGAGAGAATCTATGCTGGTGCTTTGAAATGATCTACCCAACTCTGTCATCTGTAACAACCAGTGATAACTCTCTTGTCTTGTAAAAAGGGTTTGTACATAACTTGTACATGGTTTCATTTTGTATTTTTCGCAGATTAAAAATTTATGTATTTGTGTTCTAAAACAAGGAGTGTTTCTTGTGTCTTTTTAGCAGTCACATGCCATGGGGTGAGGTGGGCTGGGGGTGGCGTGGTCCTTGAGTTCCAATCAGGCTGCTTTCTTTCTTCCCTCCATCCTCCTCCATGAAGGCAAAGTTGTGGATTGATTGAAACCGTGGGTTTCCCTTTGCAGCTTTGAGGGCAAATAGACCTCCCCACCTCCACGATCTTCAAGGAGCTGGCCAGTGGGTGCTTGCCCAAGACTGCAATAAGCATGGTGGACGGGAAGAGCTGCTGCCATTAAATGTGGTGCCTGAGAGCCCTGTGGGCTGAATATATTTACTGAATGGCTATTATGGGCTGAATAGTCCTCTACTGGGAGCTGGGAAAACAACAGTGAGGAATTCTATGATTCCACTTCTCCAGCCAGGGCCAGAGGGACACGTGCTCCTGCGGAAGGCTCCAGCAAGCAGGCCACTAAAGAAATGCACAGCATTCAATAGGTCCTTGGAAAGCTAGCTAAAGCATTTCTTTGCTCAGCCACCCACTCTCAAGCTAGTTACCATTCCCTGCCATTTTCACAGAGAAATGGTGTTCTTTCCCCTGCATTTAGCTTATCAAAACCCAGGACAATCTGCTAAAGGTTTGACTCATCCTACGTCACACTCAGCCCCAAGAGGGCAACAGATGGAACTTTAAAAGCAAAAAAAAAAAAAAAAAAAAAGCCCTTAAAAACTAATGCTGCCATGTGCCATGTTAGGCCATACTTTAAACTTTCTTCAGAACCTTCAGAGTTTGAACTCTTTTTAGGGGCCTGGACTTGCAAGGGCAAAGCTGGTCCAGCCTAGAGAAAGAAAAGGACCTGCAGAATGGGAAAAAGCCATCCAAGGTATATAGATGTAATGTGCAGAATGTCTTGAGATTTAATGTATTCTAGAGATTGTCTCACTTGCTCATTAGCCAAATATTTACTGAATAGCTATTATGTCAACAGCCCTCTGCTGGGAGCTGGGAAAACAACAGTGAGGAATTCTATGTTCCAGTTCTCCAGTCTGGGGGAGGGATGGGATCAGCAAATAAACAAGTGATAGTCATGTATTGAAAACTGATCTCTAGAGGAAAGCACAGTATGCCACTGGGAACACATCAAAGGGGCACTTAGCTATTCCAAGAGGAGTATACCAATTGACAGATATTTTAAAAAACAAATTCCCCTTCTACCTAAGCCAATATAAGCCCCAACTGGAACTTATTCCCAGCGGTCAGCAAATGCAGGTTTACCTGTCAGAATGTGCTAGTTTCTGACAGTCCTTCGCACTCCGGTTTCTCAACTTGCCTTCTCCAATATTTGCTAACAAATCTGAATGTTGTTGGGGAATGTAATTGCAGAGCATATGGTCCCTATTAGTTAGGCAAACTCCACTGCCAAATTCAACTCCAAGGAAGGAGTCTGCATAAAGGATGAAGTATTAGGAAAACATCAACAGTGACAGAGAAGGCAAATAAAAGAGATGAGACAGTGAGTTACAAAATAGCAGGCTCTACAAACCCAGCACAATGAATGTGGAACATAATTTTCCATTTGTTGAGAAAACAATATAGGTGAGTTTGTACTAAAATCTCCCTGTAGCAAAAATCAAAGTAGGCCATTCACCAGGATCAATGTTAACTGCTTTGCAATGTCAGATAAGAGATTCTGCTTGGAAGACAAACATGGGTGGAACAGAATACAGTCTGCTAAGGCAATACAATGTGAGTTGTAAATATGGACTTAAAAGTTATTTTACATGTTACTGGACCAGCCATTGAGAGGAGAAACAGAATCTCATACCCACTAACCTCTCACATTCAGAGAGTATAAAAACGTAGGCTAAAAGTCAGAGACATGAGGTCCTCCAAGACCCAGAAAAGATGATTGGACAAGGTGGGAGCCTAGGGCTTCATCAGGCAGAAGGCAGATTCCCCAGCCCAGTCAAGCTTCTGAAAATCAAAGAGGGACCAGGGCTGAACCTGAGCCCGGACTCAGCCTGGCTACCTGGCCTTCTCTTTCAAGGAGCTGATGCTATGGGTCTTTCAAAGCCCACCACGTGCCCGGTGGTTTTTGGTCTATTGTAATTAACTCAACCTGTACCTAATTTGGCAGTTTTTTTGAAAAAGAACTTCAATTAGGTGTTTCCAAAAATAAACAACTTCATTTTTCTGGAGTCAACAATCTCCTTCTTTCATTTCTATTTCTCTGGTTAATATACTAGTTAATTCAGTTGCATACTATGATAACAAGTACAGATGCTTAAACAAGCCTGGGACTGTTGGTCAGCTCAGCTGGTGAAATCGCAAGGATATAGGTGGAGTAAAGATTTCTGTGCAAGGCACACAATTTCAGTACACCACGGAAAGCCATTAACTTGTTCACAGGAGAAAGGAGACAGACATCAGCTAACCCAGCTAGTGGATAATGGGTGCTTATTTAAGAGAGCTTTTAAGGGAAATGACTTTTCATATCTATATATGGGTGATTATTGAAGTGAATTTGTTCATCCATTCAATAGAGTGCCAGTGAAAAAGGTGTGAGGTAGACTTAATTATTATATATTAGGGGTTGGTGAACTATGTCTTGAAGGAAAATGCAGCCTGCCACTTGTTTTCTAAAGTTTTATTGAAACACAGCTATGCCCATTCATTTGTATCTATAGCTGATTTCCTAATACGACATCAGAGTTCAGGATCTGGGACAAAGGATAAGGTTCACAAAGCTTACGTAATTACCATCGTACTTTTCACCCACAAAAATGTGCTGATTCTTGGTCTATTTTGCATATAGGGAGAAAATAAAATGTATAGTAGAATCCCATTTGTGTTAAACAAGTAGGTCTATTTATTCATTCATTAAAATTGGAAAGGAAATAAAGTCAAGTCATAAGCAGTGATTATCAGAGTAGTAGGAAACAGAGGGAAAAAATTAAGAGATAGGAAGGAATTCTGCTTTTCACTTTATACATTTCTGTTTTTATTTAGGTTTATATAAATCAAACATGCATAATTTTTACCATCGGAAAAATGTTAAAGATAATTCTTTTAGGGAAATTAATAAACAGGTTTAATTAGCTAATTAAATACATTTACAATAAATAAGAGCTTAAGGTCACCCTGGGTGTAAGTGGCATTGCCAGGATGGGAACACAGTTCTGCTGACTCCAAAGCCCATTCCAGAGCTCTGCGTCTCATAGCTACCTGTTTCCAAGTGGCCTGTATATGGCAGGAGAGTGTGAGACATAGTGGCAGTTTATCCAGTACTCTGAGTTTGCTGCTTTGCCACTGTTGTTGAGCTCTGGACCTGCCAGGCTAGCAAGCATCAGTCTTATTCCCCAACAAACTATTCTTCCGTAATTGCATCCCCAGCACCAATGCAGTAGCAGGAGAACTCTACCTGCCCACAGAAGAAGGCTGCAGGACTGAGCTACCTAACTCCAAGGCTCTGGCTACATTCATCCTCAGGGTTCAACTGAACAGCTCTGCACTGGGTCCCAAACCTCATTCTATTTTGTGCAGTCCTTTTTTTACCAAGGCATCTTCCCAAGAAAGGATATGCCCTCCAAGAATTTTTTGTCTGTTAATTAATTAAAATAAAATTAAGCATAATAGATTATGCATACTTTTGGCACATATTTTAAAGGTATACAATAAACAATGAAAATAAATCTCCCTCCCATTTCAGTCTTAGACATCCAGCTCCCTTCCCTAAGACAACTATGGTTAATAGTTGCTGCTGCTTCCTTCCAGAAAGTCTTTGCATATACAATCATAACCCAAACATAGCTTGCTATATACTTTATAACACTCTAAATACACTCTATATATCTTTTTTAAACAATATAATGTGTAGATTTCTTTTGTCTATCCATCAATCTTTCTAAGGGCTGCATAGGAGAAAGAGCAAATTTACAAAAATTTAAATGGTCAATAACTATAAAAACAAACAATATGAGTCTCAAGTCTGTTTAACTCTGTAAAAGTAAATTTAAAAATTTAAATGAAATGAAAAACTTAGGAAAATATAAACTGGTGCTTAGAAAAGAGATAAACAGAAATTAGCCTGTTGCCCTGCAAAAAACAGAAACCATTGTTGAAGCATAAGCACCGCTAATAAAACACATGTTAGGCCTAGTAATTTTAGGGTGAGTTCCACCCAAAATTTAAAGAATAGCTTGAAACATAAATATAAAATACATGTTTCAATATTAGTAATTATTACAGAGTAAGTCACCATACTAACAGATCTGAGGTAAAAATCATATTGTAATTTCCATATGGTGAAAGTTATTTAATAAAATCTAACACTTTGATCAAAAATCATAATAAAGTAGGTAATTTTCATAACATCATAAACAATTTGTATTTTAAAATCAGCATTAGATATAATGAAAGAACTCCAGAACTCTTCCCATTCCAATAATGATGCCAGAAAGAAAGTTTAAGAAATTCAGCTTTGTTTATTATGTCTACCTTATTCTATTAGACAATTTAAAAAGTGATGCCTTTAAAAATTGGAATGGAGGAAAACTTTTCATTATTTGCAGATAAATTAAAAACTTAAACGTAAGACCTAAAACCATTAAAACCCTAGAAGAAAACCTACGCAATACCATTCAGGAAACAGGCATGGGCAAAGACTTCACGACTAAAACACCAAAAGCAATGGCAACAAAAGCCAAAATTGACAAATGGGATCTAATTAAACTAAAGAGCTTCTGCTCAGCAAAAGAAACTATCCGTCAGAGTGAACAGGCAACCTACAGAATGGGAGAACATTTTTGCAATCTATCCATCTGACACAGGGCTAATATCCAGAATCTACAAAGAACTTAAACAAATTTCCAAGAAAAAAATAAACAACTACATCAAAAAGTGGGCACAAAATATGAACAGACATTTCTCAAAAGAAGAGATTTATGCAGCCAACTAACATCCGAAGAAAAGCTCATCATCACTGGTCATTAGAGAAACGCAAATCAAATCACCATGAGAT